CCCGGTTAGGATTTCTTAAGCAAATCCACTGGGCTTTCAACATGAAGCCAGAAAATCGGGACTTTTTAAAAACGCCCCGGGACACGGGACAAATTTTTATAAAGTGTGACTGTCCTTCTGAAATCGGGATGTCTGGTCACCTTAATAAAACTAATCAAACTCTTCTTTTTCTGCATTGATGGTTGGAGCATAAACTTGAATGACTGAAGGGTTGGTCACAATGGCTAATCAACATTATTCTGCCATTGATTGCATTGTAATAAAGTACTGCTCTTCCTATACCTTTTCTAATTATAAAAGAAACACTTTTTTGTTTTTCATGTCCTGAGTAAAACAGTGTAACCTAAATGAAAAAGTCCAATCCCAATCTATCTCGATTCACTACTGCCTAAGACGTCAATTTGTACTCATTCATCTTTCACCATGTTGAGTGCTTTTTAGAGTCCATGTTTCTGCTGTAGTTATCTTTGCAGGTACAGATTTTCTTTTTCTGAATGGAAAGTTGATGTCCCAAAGATTTAATCTAACCACATAATAAGCATCATTAGTACTCTGAAAGATCCTCAGCCGTTCCTGAGTAGCAGATTGAGTGCCATCAAATCTGAGGGACCCAGCATATATCATCAGGCATTTTATATATTCTATCCATATGGTTTTCTTTGTAAAAATACAAAAGTGATTTACTATTACCTTTTCTCATGTAGTATGAATTGATGCCTTTGCCAGTGTCACTAAAGTGACCATTTGCCTGTAGTACCTTTCCAGCTGAACCATGTGAATTTCATTAGAAATCATAACATCCGTTTTCAAAAACAAGATTGGGAAAAAAACAAATCATAAATAGGAAGCTCTTTAAAAACTATTCTCAACATACTATCTGTAAATAATGGGCAACTAATTATTCTAAAACAGAGTGAACTTTTTAAACTAGCTTGATGATGAATGTAAATAACAAAATTTAAGAGCCACAGTGGCACAACAGTTAGAATGCAGTACTACAGGCTACTTCTGCTGACTGCCAGCTGCCTGCAATTTGGCAGTTCGAATTTCATCAGGCTCAAGGTTGACTCAGCCTTCCACCCTTCCAAAGTCGGTAAAATGAGAACCCAGATTGTTGGGGGCAATATGCCTTTGCCTGCGGTATTTGTATTAATTTCTTTTGTTTATATCCATGTTTATATTTAGACCTGCTATCTTGTATATGTTTGACAAACTAATAAATACAAATACAAATACAAATATATTGACTCTGTAAACCGCTTTGAGAGGGCTATAAAACATTGTAAAGCGGTATGTAAGTCAAAGTGCTATTTCTATTACTTTAAGTAATTCTGGAATTTGGCAAGCATTTTTTGTTCTGTATTATAATAAAATTTAATTTTAATGTCCTTCATATTTAAAATCCCTTTGTAGTGCGTAATAATTTTTTATCATTGACAAGGGGTTGTCAAATTTTTGTCTGTTACACCAAAAGTGATCATGCAGTCATGCTGCTTTTGAAGTTAATGCCAGAATGTGTAAATGTTAATATTTGTCAATACCAAATTCTAAAGTAGTGTGGAAGAATTTGAATTCCAGAAGCTCTTTTTCAAGCAGAATGGCAAAGTAGGAGCAGGGACAAGATAAGAACTTTAGCTGACTAACCTGAGTTTTTTGGTGGGTTGGCAGGTTGGCTAGCTTGCTTTTAGTTTCTCTGTCAGTTCTCAAGCCATGCCAATCCCATTTTATTAATGGGATTATACGTGGCACCATTATTCTTTTTCCATTTCTCGATTATCACAGATGAACAAAATTGTAGATATTTTAAAAGGAATTTAGACTATCTATATGGGTAATATTCCTGACTGTCTCCTTCCATAGTCATAGATGGATGCATTGAATACCAGTTACTAGGAAGCAATAATGAAAGCTATTACATTTTGATCATATTAATAAAGTTTTTATTATGATATTATTCTTATGATCTGAAATAGATTGGCTGTTATGGGGAAAGTGCTCTCTTAAATAAGGAACCAAAACATTTGGAGAAAGTTGCAACAAAATATTCTTGATTGGCATGCCCAGGTACAGTCCTCACTGGACTCCAAAGCCCACAAGATTATATATTTTCTGAAAAGGATGCATAGGACTTAAAAAGCAATATAAATTATAACATGACCTTTACAGAAGCAATATAAAGTCTAATATATGGAGTAAAATTTTAAAAATAAATAGTATCTGCTATTGTGTCCATATAGTCTTTCCCTTCACAACTTGTTTTTTGTTATCTATCTCCTACCCCTCCAGGATCCTCAGGCAGTTTAGTTTTCCTGCTCTAATATGCACTTCAAGCTCATGTGTGTAAGGTAGAATGTTATTTGTCTATACCGTTTCAGACAAATGGCTATCCAACATCTTCTTAAAGACTTCCAGGGTTGGGGCATTCACAACTTCTGGAGGCAAGCTGTTCCACTGATTAATTGTTCTAACTGTCAATACATCAATAATATGTAATCTTACTTTTAAAAAAGACAACCTGATTTATTAAAGAGTAGACTATGCTTCATGGACCTCTTTCTAAAGCAGGGATCACAACCTTTCACACCTCAGGAACCACTAAATTCATAATTTTAAATTCCACAGACCACTAATGTGATCTGCCTAATGACAAGCTGGGTGGGCGTGCCTAGGTGGCCATGTGACTGATCAACTTGATGTCACTCACTTCAAGGGACGCCTCATCAGCCTCTACCCTTCTCCCCTCCCAGCCACACCTTGCCTACCCTCTCAAGCTCCTTAGGGCCCTAGCAAGAAGCGGTTGTTGGAGCTAAGCAGCTACCAAGAGAAACAGTTGGCAAAACAGCTGGCTCAGTTCAAATTGGATCTGACCAAGAAGGAGGCTCAGCAGAAGCACCTCATTGAGGACTACAAGCATAGGCTTTCCAAGCAGAGGGAAGACCTGCAGAAGTGCAAGGCTAGGTACTGGCGCCTGGAGACTCAGTGGGCTGAGATGGTTAGCTAGTTCCAGATCATGATGCAGTCCAGTGGTGGGTTGCAAATCCAGTTCCAATCGTACCGGTGGCCTCATGCCTTCAAGCACCTCCGTGATGCTCCACGACACTCTGCGATGCTCCAGCTGCTCCGCAGAGCATCGCGCAAGCGCTTTATGCGCCTTTAAACACTGGTAAGGAGCTTGGGCAGGCAGGCAGACCCTCCGGAGCACTGTACCGGAATGGTATCTGGTGCTCCAGGCTGGCTCTGGTACGCCCATACCGGGGCATACTGCCTGCAACCCACCACTGATGCAGTCCCACTGGAACAAGGCCCTCCGACTCTTCACCACCAGCGGTGCTTCCCTCCAGGCTTTGCTCAAAGCCCCGCACCAGGAGGCTGAAGCAGACCTCAAGTTGGAATTATTCCCCCCCTCCAACCCACACAAAAAGATCCCAAAGGGAGAGACTCTCTGCAATGAACAAACGTTCATTGCACGTATCCATCCCAGGGGGCATAGTTTGAGCACCCCTGATTTAGGACAATATAAGAATGCAAATACTTTTTTTGCAGATCACCAAAATTTTCTCATGGACCACCAGTTAATGACAGTTGTTCTAAAGAGTTCTACTTTTTCTGGAAAGAACTTAGTGTGCAATTAGTCTGAAGCAATTTCCATTAGCTGTACAACATATGCATTAACCTGTATTATGCCCATACCTTCATTTCTTTCTCTGAAGTGTTGCCCAAAGTCAGCAAATTTGAAAAAAAATGATTTTTTTTGTTTGAAATGGAACTTTTTTCAGATATCCTATTGAAATGGCGGGGGGTTAAATTATTCTTTCCATGATGAAGAAATAAAGGAGAAAAAAATCTGCTGTTCTCTAGCAGGGCTTTAAATTCTTCAGAGGCTCCAATATTATAACTTTCTAAATTTAAGTAGAATTTGAATAAAAAAGTTGCTTTCTGAGAAATCCTTGGTGCTCTTTGAGTTTGATTGTTTTCTTGCAGATGTTTCATTATCCAAACTAGGTAACATCATCAGTGATAGTGCAGATATTAATGTCATTATCAGAGGGCACCAAGAATTCCTCATTTCAACCATGATCTACAAATATTTTCTTTTATTGATAAGTTAATTTCTAAATATAATTAAACAAAACTTACAGAATGCTAAATAACAGAGATGGAGTAAACCAACCCCTGGTCAAGCAACAGACCTTATACTGTTCCAGACAAATGGCTGTCTAGTTGCTTCTTGAAAACCTCCATTTATGGAGCACTCATACTTCTGGAGGCAAACCATTCCACTGATTAATTGTTCTCATTGACAGGAAATTTCTCCTTAAGTCCAGGTTGGATTTCTCCTTGATAAGTTTCATATGTTTTTTTTGTTTTTTTGTTCTTTATTTGGAGAATAAAGTTGCTTTGAAGAATAATTTGATTCCTCCTCTTCTCTTTAACAATCATTTAAATATTGAAACTGCTATCATCTCATTCCCTAATCCTTTTCTTCATTAGACTGTTCATCATATGTTTTAGCCTCCCTAATCATCTTTGTTGCTCTTCTCTGCATTCTTTCTAGAGTCTCAACATGTTTTTCGCATTGTGGTAACCAAAACTGGGCGCAGTATTCCAAGTGTGATCTTATCAGTGCAATATAAAGCAGTACTAGCCCCTCTGTTGATGAAGCTTAGGCCTGGCTGTTTTGGAAGCTGCAGCAAATTGCTGGCTCATATTTAAGTGGTTGTCCACTAAGACTCCTAGATCTCTCTCACAGCCACTGCTGTTGAGCCAGATACCCCCTATTCTATACTGTGCATTTGGTTTTGTAAGAATTAAGTTTGGTATATCTGATCCTTTAGTTCTCTAGTTTTTGAGAAACAAAGTTGTCTGCTAATTTCATTGAAGCCTGAAAAAAGAGACATTATTCCTTTTGTAATTTTGTATTATAATTAAATTGAGTATATTTTGCACGTAATAAAAAATTGAAAAGTAAGAAATTAATTACTTCTCCCCTCTGCTCCTTGATTTTGATAATTCGCAAACCTATTGTAGGTATGGACTTTTAAATGCCATTTGTCCAGATCTTTGGATTCAAATTTTGCAACATTGAAAAATTCCTTGTATTTCTAGTCTCCTGGCAGAAGACCCTGAAGAGGAGGGAGATCAGTGTAGGATATGCCAAATTGCAGGAGGATCTATAACCAATCCTTTGCTAGAACCTTGTGGATGTGGAGGAAGTCTTCGATTTGTCCATGAGGAATGTCTGAAGTCATGGCTAAAAGCTAAAATAAAATCAGGTATGATTACAGGTTCTTAAACAGGAAAATTTTGGTGAAGGGAAATACCATATTTTTCGGAGTATATGACGCCCCGGAGTATAAGATGCACCAAGGTTTTGAAGAGGCAAATTAAAAAAAAGTTTTTGCACTCTGCAAACCTTCCAAAAACAGCCTGGGTTTTTTTGCAAAAATGGGCCCATTTTTATTCCAAAAAAAGGCATGAATAGCCTTTAGGGGGCTTGCAGAATGCTCCAGGGGGGGGGGGAGTGAGTAAAAAATGGCCTGTTTTTCATAAAAAAGGGGGTGCATAGATAGCCTCTAGAAAGCTTATAGAGTTCTGGGGGGGGGTAAAATTGGTAAAATTTATTGTAATGCGCTCTACATGGGGCTGCCCTTGAAGAGTGTTCGAAGACTCCAATTAGTCCAGAAT